GTATCTATTTTTTCCTTTTTCCAAAGGCATGTAATACTGCTAGTCAACAAGTTAGTCATCAAACAAGAAAAGTCGACATATTAGGTTACCATAATATGCCAACATTCTCATAAAACGTTTGACGTTTATACATTTAAAGATGTATAAAAACTCGCATTTTTGCTTTTTAATTTCGCACTTTATTGGCTATTCCTGCCGTTGACGATGGGCTTGAATGAAACAGTGTTAATAGTAGCGCCTTATTCAGCTACATACCAAGTTACTCCCCTCTTTCCCTACCACTATACCATACGAGAGGACTATTGGCTCGCTATATATTTAGATTGCTCCATGCCGCAAAAATAGCGACATTTACAACATCCATGGTTTCTCTGGGATTCGAACCCGGGCCCTTCGATGCGGGAGTCACTAACTACTCTCCCTCTGAACGGTGTTCACTGGATAAATAAGCTTAATAATTTTAAAATACTAAATCTAATCTGAAATGACAGTCCCAGGCACGTAAAATATTTGCAACTATGTTATAAAGATGAGTGTAAAACTTTCCCTCTCCGTTATATAAATTCCCCTAAAGCTTTTTATTACTAAACACCTTGCACAGCTTTCAGCTATCAGGAGAAAAGTCAGTGGCACCCTTTTCGAAATTTATATAACTGAACAATGAAAATTACATTTAGCAACGGAGCCACAATATGGAATTTCAACTTAATTTAGCTGGCCAGTAGAAAGATATGAAATTTTCACAGGCTTTTCCTTCCTAGAATCTCCAAACCCTGCTTAATAATATGTTATAAAGATGAGTGTAAAACTTTCCCTCTCCGTTATATAAATTCCCCTAAAGCTTTTTATTACTAAACACCTTGCACAGCTTTCAGCTATCAGGAGAAAAGTCAGTGGCACCCTTTTCGAAATTTATATAACTTAACAATAAAAATTACATTTAGCAACGGAGCCACAATATGGAATTTCAACTTAATTTAGCTGGCCAGTAGAAAGATATGAAATTTTCACAGGCTTTTCCTTCCTAGAATCTCCAAACCCTGCTTAAAGATGTCATTTATCACTTTCAAGTCATTAGTGAAACTGAATCCTTCGAGATCGGGCAAGTATTATGGAAGGTGGCAAGAGGCTTAATGGAACATCTAAGAAATTTCTTCATTATCTTTGAAGTAATCTGCATTTTACACAGTTAGAGAAGAAGAAGCTTCATCTTAAAATTATTCATTGAAATTTGTATTCCAAATATCTCAAATTGGGTGAGGGGGAATATATATAGTCTTTTCACCTAGTTCAAAAAGTATTAGTTCTGAAACGTATCTATATTTATTAATGAATGTAATTTACGCAGGAACTTGGCTAGCATATAACAATATCAGATGATATTGTTTAAATAAAAATAAAAAAAAGGGTTCACATACCCCACATGTAAAAAGTAAGAAAAATTTGAACGCATTCGGATTCTAGAAACCTAAAAGTATAATAATGTATTTAAATAAAAGCATAATATACCTTTAAAAGTAGTCTCTCAAGCAAAGGATAATTTTAGTTTGGCAAGGGCATTTGCTATTATAATAAATGCACAGCTTAATAAGTATTTTGTGAAACGGTCAAAGAAAGCCCACTTAGAAATGTGTATGCTTTCCTATTAAAAAGAGTCTGAGCATTATTTACTGATACTAAATTCTGTCAGAAAATTATTCGTTATAAATTCGTAATTAATTCGGAAATAAATTATAACATTTGAGCGTAATTATTTATTTAACTTCGCATCATTCTGCAATTAAATGTTTTTTTGTTTAAAATAGTGTTCTTTCTTAAGAGTATAAGTATAGAAGTGAAACATGGTTTCATTTTTATATTAGTTTAGTTCTTTTTTCCCTCTTTTAGGTAAGTAAATCACAAAATTCTAGCATTTCATGTTGCATGTATCTACATCAATTTTCTTTGATTGTTATATTTTTCTGATGTGAAGGTAACTATTGAAAAATGAACGCATTTTTTAGTTTAACTGCTGATAAAAATATTACGCCTTTTGCCAAATTATTAGAGTGTTTAGAGCTCAGAATGGTTAGATAATAAAATTTATCTGATGACAAGGAACATCGTCACTGATTTTTTTTTTACTTTCAAAAATTATATATTAGTACGTTAGCAGTCATTGGAAATATGCATTCTCTGAGAACATTGCGACTAATTTCTTAGAAACAAATTTTTGAAAAAAAATTGCATTAAAGAGCTGAGAATGTTTTATAGTTCAAAACTACTTTATGAAATTTCAATTTGCTGAATACAATAAGTGCACTTACTTATTTCTTTATAATTCTAAAGTTCTATAAGATAAGAGTCGATCACGATTCATGCGAAAAAAAATACCAATCATGCGAAAAAATTGAATAATTGATTAATTCATCATGCGAAAAAAATATCAATAATTGGTAAGTATTATCTCCTGGGTAAAAACTCATGTATCGATTTAAATTGGCTTCGGGACTACTTAACAGCACATAGAGAAAATAGAATGCACGTAGGATAATGTGTTACTTTGCTACTCTCAATCAAAATTAAATAATGCTTAAAAACTTCTTCCTCTAATTCATTCTAATATAACTGTGCTGTTCAAATAACATGCAAATAAAATCTACATATAGTAATAAAACGCTAAAATTATGAAGTTTGTAGAGATATTAGGTATTCTTTTGGAAGCAGGCAACATGAAAAATATGCAAAGCCTTCCCCGGGAATCGAACCGCAGAACTCTCAATTACGCGCTGAGCATGCTCAGACCACTACAGCACAAAGACGGTAGGAATGCTTTATATATTTCCCCTTTTAAAGGGCCACTGGGGTTTTTAGGGGACTCAATCGCCAAATCCTGGGTGGGGAGAATCATTATCCAACACCCTTTTAGTTCGGGCACCAATGTAAGACTCCTAAGTGTTTTGATCTATAACTAAAGTTGAGGAATCTTAAGAACTGATAAGCGAATAATCACTTGAGTTCGAGAGACAGAGAACAAAACGTAGGAAGGGCGAAATTACCCTTTATTATTCCAATAAGTTTTAACAGATGACTCCTTTCTTGGAGTGGAGTTACAATAAAGCCTGCACTCGGGTTTGAACTTAGGAACTAAGAACTAAATTAATCTTAACTAAAAAGATATAGCCGAAACTATCAAGATTCTAACAGAGTTGGCCCCTTAACGCTAATCAACGGCGAAGCTATCAAGGGCCTAAAGTACGGCCAAGCGTAGTAACAGATTAAGAGAGAGAGTAGCCTGAAAAGGCGAACGCATTATTAGAGACGTTTAGAGCTCAGAATGGTTAGATAATAAAATTTATCTAATATAATTATAATAGAATAACTGACTCTCTGACGAAGTCAGTAGAACTTCACAGTTAAATACTTCTCCTCATTTGCATTCAAATTCGATTCTAAAAATACGTTCTCGCCTGAAGTTGTAAGCTTGAAATTAAGAAGAGATAGGAAGTAACTTTAACTCAAAATTTAACTGTTAGATAAATTAAGATAATCCTTACAAGGCAATGATAAAAATGCTTAATACTGGAGACTTTAAAGTTACCTTTGTTACCTAATACCAGATTACGAAAATTACTAAAACTGATTATAAATCTGCATACTTTTTTCCTGTACCAAAAGCAGATTTTATATAGGTAACCTGTATCAATATAGTAAGTTAAAGCATATCTACCTCCCTTTCTTTCAAGCAAATTAAATTACTACCTCTTCCAGATGTATTTTTCGAGCAGTGTCATTTTAGGCAAATATATTACGACCCATTTCAAACTATTTTGGTTCATAGCTTCTCTTAAATAATTTTTTATCATTTTTAGTTAAAAAATTATTTCTTTCTTCCAAGAATTGTCATCAGTTTTCGTAAGTAGGCATATTTGGAAACATTATGATCCAATTATTATTAATAATCATTCTCCTTGAGAACAGTTGACATTATTTATAATTTATAATATAGTTCAGTGACATTTGATTCAGATTTATTACTATACGAGAATTTTATTCGGATAAGTTTTATAATAATTATTTCATGTCTGAAGAAGCAGATTCTTCATTTAAACAGTCTCAAATAAAATTTTGAATCCGTTTTAATTTTCCAAATATGTGTGTGTTGTGACTTATCTCACTTGCCTGACAGTGATATCAAAATAAGCTGACGAAATTCATCGTGGCAAGATTGCGCCTGTCGTTGGCAACAGCCTTGAGCACCATACAGGTGACAGTACGACTTCGTTCATTTCCGCCCCCAATTTTGAAGGAGAGCACCCCGGGGAGACGGGTCCGAGGGTCTTCCACCACAGGAAATTCAGGAAAGTTAAATAGTCGCAACTACATTTTCGAAAAGTCGCAAGTCCATATTTAGATCATTTGTCAAGCCAGAATTGAATGAGAAAAAACGTTTTTAAGTAAATGATTAAACAGTTTGCACTTTTTACATAATTAATGTCATTACATATAAGTATTACAAAATAATTCTCATTTCTCCTACTTTGTATTCAAGAAGTTATATCCTGCGATATATAAAACTGAAAATATTATGAGGAGGCAACTAAACATTCTTTTGTCAGACAGAAAACGAAGCGTTTTCTTTTAGTTTCCTTTGATCTCCTCCGTAATTAAAATTGTTGACTGGATTTTCAAGAAGTAAACTGATATTGAAAGAAGAAGTTGTTTTTGTCACCAGTCTTACTTGTCTGACAACGGTCAGCACAAACCCACGACAATCATCGTGGCAAGGAGTCATACGCACCTGTCGTTGGTAAGAGCCCTGGTCACCCTATGAGTAACAGCCCGACTTTAGCTTAGTCCCCCGCATGTTTTGAGATAGAGCACCTAGGGGAGACGGCTCTGAATGATTCTCACTCACCTTTTCCTACTACCAACCTCTTAAGAGGACTTTCGGCTCGCTGCATATTTAGAGTGATCCATTATGGTTAAATCCATTATGGTTTGAATAAAGCTTAGTTTACCTATTCCTGCTACAAACATGGGACCCCATAAAGGCAAGCACCGTGCTTTATTGTCTACTTCTTTTGACTTTTTGTTCGTTCTTTCTTTACCTTCAATAACGGATCCAGCTAAATTGAAAATATTAAATTTACTTATTCAAAAGTAATCTAATTTACACAAAAATAATCTGATCTCACTGTGACAAAGGTCTATTTATTACTGAATTAACAAGCAAAAACCTGAGTTCAGTTTTTGTTGATTACGAAAAATTATTCTTTTATATGTTATGTGTGTAATCTTTTCTAAATTTCCCAAAATAAAGTCAAAAGATGCTCACTTTATTTGCCAAATTGTAAAAACAAAAGGAACACAGCAAATGTCTTTTTTTTTTTTTTAATTTCGCTTCCTTTGAATTCATGGAGTTGCTGTTCCCCTGCAGGTTAGATTTCATTTTTAACTAATAAATTATGAAATGCTGACGTATAATTTTTATAAATGCTATGCATAATTTTTCTAAATAATCTGATTAAGGTATAATAAGCGGTATGTGGAATCATTACGTTATTTTGAAGCAGAATACATGAAAAATAAGCAGTAACCTCGCCGCGATTCGAACCTTGGATCTCTCGAATACGCGTCGAGTATGCTTCCAATTACATCATGAAGGCATGCGGAAAAATGGTAGAAAATACCTTATATACTTCCTCTTTTAAAAGGCGACTGAAAATGAGGTGATCCAAACGCCAAATCCTGACGGTGACGAATTATCGTCCGCCACCATTCTGTTTTGGACGCCACTAGTCATGGGGTTATTTTGAACATGGAGACGTGACAAAATGAGCACTGCCCTCGCCACTCGAACTCTGGACCTCTTGAATAGGCGTCGGTTTTGCTTCCAATTACACCACGAAGGCGTGCAGAAAGGAGGAGAAAATACCTTATAAGCATGATGAAACTTTTTATTAAACTTTTTACATACTACTTTTACAGTTGTATCTAAGATGATCCAACACTTTTCAGAATCACTGCATTTCAGAAAAAAAAAGTTAACATTTACAAGTGCAAGTTTTGGTTTAGTTACTGTTTTACATCAGGAAGAGAAATAAAATTTAAATTCCTGTAAAACTCAGAAAATATGCTGATTAGATGCTCAAAAGCATTGATTATATACAGTTGGATATGCCTTGCTTGAATAGTTAGTATGTCTTACCGTGAGTGTCGATTTCAGAAGTTTCATTAAAATATACTATTAATATTACTTGGAAATGAAATGTAACGGGATTTAAAATTGTTAAAATTAGATTCCAGTCATAAAATAGTTAGAATGAAAAAATTAAATAACAATGAAATCGATACAATGGTTATATGTTTTTCACATGAATATTTAAAAGTACTTATTCTTCGCTTTCTCCTCTAAATGCTTTTCCACTTGTTTTTATTATAAAATCTTAATAATACTCAAAATTATTCGTATGAAATAAATCTAAAATAAATTCTTAATATTTTCATTTCTTGTAAATAATGTGTCAGAGCTGAAGCTTTGCGCATAACGCTACTTTATTGCTCATTAATTACGCAGACTCTTATTTTCAAAACTAGAAACAGACTCGTGTATAATAAATAACAAGATAGAATTGAAAAACATATGAAAGAAATTAAAAATAAATAGCAGATTAAATTCCAAACAAGATACAGAAAAATGTCGCTTTAAATACATAAACATTCCTATCGGGCTACCATCCTTCAGCCATCTGATTATCATTGCACTTAACGAACACTTTCTTGCTCCCGATCTAGTTATGAATAGCTGCAACATAAATTGCAAAAGTAAACATTTTGCAACATAAGTACGCTAAGCTATTGTAGCATCAAAACTTCAAACCACTGGGCAAAGAATTTTAACTTGACGACCTTTAACATTGTTTGTTGTTATCTACCGCTATATGTGCTAAAACATAAACTACAAAGATAGCTTTTAAGAGCAATATTGGGAAACCTAAGGGAAAACATTTAAATGCACCCTTATTAATGGCTTCAATATTTTAAACATGGTGTCTAACGTGAATATTTTGTGCTTTGCTTTGTATGTTTCGATTACATATTGTACTCTTAATATTGATTTTTTGTAAGCCATATACGAATACGTTCTGTGATTTAATAAAGTGATTTCGTTTCCTAATATAACAGATACGTAGAGAAAGAAGTAATAGATATAGGATTTCTAACGCAGGAAGGCAAGAAACGTTATTTAATGCGTAGTAACAATGACGTAGCTGGGGGAGCAAGGGTGGGGGGACATCTGTCCCTGGGCGCAGTATTCAAGGGGAGCCAAAATAATGTTAAAAAAATTTAGAATGAAATGTCTTCCATTATTGGCAAACATTATGAGCGCGATATCTTCAGTTGTCTCTGGGCTCTGAAAACCCTAAAACCTTCGCTTAATTTTGTTGCGAATATATATTTCTATACATTGTGGCTAAGCGAATGTAATAGATAGCTTATAAGATGTTTCTCCCACTTTCCTAGCGTGCCTTCGTGGTGTAACGGTAGCACGTTGGGCCGGTATTCCAGAGGTCCGTGGTTCGATTCCCGGCGAAGGCGTTTGCTAATTTTTCATCTCTCCGGCCTCTAAAAAATACCGAATGTCTCTACAAGTGGCGCCCGAACTAAAAGGGTTATGGATGATGATTCTCCGCACCCAGGATTTGGCGACTAGGTTCCCTAAAACCCTAGTCGCCCTTTGAAAAGGGGAGTATATAAGGTGTTTCTCCCACTTCCCTAGCGTGCCTTCGTGGTCTAACGGTAGCACGCTGGGCCGGTATTCCAGAGGTCCGTGGTTCGATTCCCGGCGAAGGCGTTTGCTAATTTTTCATCTCTCCGGCCTCTAAAAAATACCGAATGTCTCTACAAGTGGCGCCCGAACTAAAAGGGTTATGGATGATGATTCTCCGCACCCAGGATTTGGCGACTAGGTTCCCTAAAACCCTAGTCGCCCTTTGAAAAGGGGAGTATATAAGGTGTTTCTCCCACTTCCCTAGCGTGCCTTCATGGTCTAACGGTAGCACGCCGGGCCGGTATTCCAGAGGTCCGTGGTTCGATTCCCGGCGAAGGCGTTTGCTAATTTTTCATCTCACCGGCCTCTAAAAAATACCTAATGTCTCTACAAACTTAATGGAGATTTCACTTAATACACAATTTATTTATATTTTATTATCCTATTCCAAATTTAAATATTTGAAGTTATCAATTATTTTATTATGAATAGCAAGACTTCAAAATCTTCTTATTTTAGCATTATTTTCCTTGTCAGAGAGAGAGCATATATAGAGCACCTGCACCTTGGATAAGAAAGTTCCGATTTCATTTAGTACCAAATTTAGGGTTTAACAAAATTATTTTAAGTGCTGTTTCCTAACAAATAAATTAGTGTCGATTTCCAATATGGAAGAGATAATTACTTGGTTTTTTTCATTCGTATTCTCAGAGCTTAAGGGGAAAATTCGGCTTCAGAGTAAATATTTTCATTAAATATTCCTATTGTGTAATAACCGCTCAGATTTTTTCATAGAATAATTTTGATTTTAAAGAGAGGTAAGATAAATTTAAATTTCTTAAACATTAATCGATTGATTGCATAGCACTATTTGCAAAAATGCAACAGTTATAAAATGTGAGATAAATTAATAAAGAAATGCGAAGAAAAATATTGAAATCAAAATTGTAAAGGCGACAGCTCAGTGAAAGTACTGAGGATGAAATTCCATAAATTAGAAATAAAATGCAAGAAGGATATTAAATTGCTAGACCAGAGATTCAAAACATTTATTAAATATATCTTTAGCAGTACCATTCTAAGTTGTAAAAATTAACAGACACAAAGTGTTTAAGAAAGAGACCCGCTTTTCTTGGAACATTTTAAATGTGTTCCTTATTTTTCTTTTCACATCTATGGCAGAGCTTGCATTTGAAGTAAAACTGAGTTTGCTTTGAGAAAAAAAAAGGTTACTTCGATAGTAAGTGCCGAATTGAAGCACACCTATTTGCGAAGCCCACATATAGCGAAGGGAAAAAAGTTCCAACTAATGACTCTTCATTTTTCCTTTTTATGAGCAAAAAGGAAAGCGATAAAATGAAACAAAAATAAAGCCAATGTTGTCGGGAAAACAAGTTGAATACGTCAGAGAAATGCAGTTGAGGAAGGGCGAAAAAATTCTACTATACGCTCGTTAAAATAGCAAGCTTATTCAGAGCTTTCTCAACTCACAATGGACTTTCTTAACAAAACGTTAATTTGTTCCGAAAGAAAAGCTCTATTTTACGAAAACTGTTTTAATGCCCGTACGGCTTTCTTCTTAAAAGTTGTATAATTCCATGGGAGAGAGAAACTATTATGAACATTAAAACGTTCTCATCAAAGCTTTGGGATAGATCCATTCATTCCTTTCCAAACAGAGAATTTCCCTCTTTAAATCTTTACTTTTATTCTTTTAAATACTTCTTCAGATCTGATGAAAAAGGATTATTTTTTCTTTAGCTAATAAAGAGTTTCTTCTTAAACTTTTCAGATTTATATGTTAAAATCTGAGCCTCTCATTTTATGGTACGCTTCGCTAATTATCAAGAAACTGGTAAAGAAAAATTCAAATACAAATACTGCCTATAGAAAAAAAACGTAGATTTTTACAGCTGGGATTGCAAGATTCAAACAAGAAGAAAGAGTAAACTTTATTAATTAGATGAGGTAATGCAGTAAGAAAGCAAGAAATTAGAAAAGGATTTAGTAACATCGAAGGATTTAAGCGCTATCTCTTCGCAAATTGCGGTGCATAAATAAATACGAAATGCTGATAATTTGGACCTCGTTTCACCATCGTCTTAATACACGATTGTAAGAGCCGTTCAGTAAAAGTTTCAGGTTTTCAAACATTAAGGAAACAGTAGTTTTTACAATTGGTTTTAAATTTGTTTTTCTAATCTTAAGTATATCATATAAGAGAGATATTTCCCAGCTAAGCATTGCGAAAACTTATAAGTAAATATTTTCCTTAAAACATTATGTTTTCCTTTTCTTCACATATAATGCGAATGATGATATACAGCAATGGTTTCCAGAGTGTAAGTCGGAAAG